CAATGCGCTTCTGCTGTCTACAGAGGAAAACCTGGTTAGTCTCTATGCAAGCAAATCAATGGGCGCACGTCATCTGAAATGCAGCAATCCAAAGCCAATGGAAGGAACACTTTCATTGTCTCCAGACAGCTGCTACCCACCTAAATCTTGTCCTTCCTGAACAAAGAAACTTCAAACAAGACTTGATCAAGAGAGGTGACAGTGTATCTGTTTAGAGCTTAATAGAAGAACCAAGGGATGTTTGTTGTTTGTTCCCCTAGTGTGAGATTAGCACAGCAAAGTTAGGTGTTCAGCAAACACGGCAAAGCATTACCCCTCAATTACTACTGTTGTGAAATCAATTACTGTAATTCTAAATGTAAGTACTCCGACATGTGGATCACACATATATGGGCTTCGCATCAAATTGTCACAAACTGGATCTACGCAGCATTTCATGGGTGCGCTGTTTACAGACGAACCCTATGTATGCATCTGTTGATTGAGGGTAGCTCCCAAAGTACTGTGCTTCTTCTTGATTTTGCAATTCGCTCTCCTCTCCTCTCCTCTCCTCTCCTCTCCCCTCTCCTTGAATGCCTGCTCATGCAAAGAAAATCTGGACCCTCCCCCCCAAACTCATTGCCAGTCCAACTTAAATGGAAAGAGTTTGCCATGGCTCACCTTGGACTGCAATGTATTTATGAGGGGGTAGAGGTCAAGTCCCTACTAGGTGCGGATTTCAAAGAAATCTACCACAGATTCAAATGAATTTCTAAGAATTTCACCCAGAGATTCTGCAGTAGCCTGGCTTTTTCCAGGTACTGTGGACTTGCTGTCCCCCCCCCCCCCCCCCCAATTTTACATAAATTTAGTCATAGGAAAATATGACAAATGAAAAACCATTAACTAAAAATGCACATTTCTCCCACAGGCTAAAGTGAAATGCATATTTTTCAGGGATTTGCATAGCTTTGTGAACATGGTTGGGAGTGTGCGTTTCTGGAGATGCATGCAAACAGGTTTGCACAAAATCCAGTTCCAACAGGAAGAGCGAGGAGCGAATCGTACGCAGATTGGGCTGCACTGTGTTTGTACATTACTCCTAGCAAACTGCAAGGCATAACACAGGGTGGCGACCCAGATGCTTGCGAGCCCTTCAGGGAGGACTGATAAGGTACTTCTGCATGCCTTTAAAACTAGAGACTGACAACAGGTGTGCATTTGTTGTGGTTGTGTTTAAGCAAGCTGGTAGCAGCTGCATCATTTCCTGCAATGTCCACATCAATTTCTTTTGGGGATATGTGTGTGGAACGCACTGAGCACTGATGCCTTATCTCAGGACTGTTTACAGAAATCAAAACAATCCATCATCAAAAACGATTAACAATAATTAAGAATATACATAAAAACAAGAATAGCATGTGACCAATGAAAACAAAATCAAAATGGAATCAAGATCAAAAACAAAATCAAGATCACAGAAAAGCATTTCAAAAGGTCCCTTTGCCTGCTACAGTCAATCCAGCGATTAATTTTTCTTTTTGTCCTCATGAAACTTTCTTTCAAACTAAGGTCAACAAAAAAGGAAACAGAATATGCATGATAATGTAACAAGATCATTTAAAGACACCAAAAAAGCACTTACAATTCTGGACCTGATATGGAACTTCTATAGTAACACCCTCAGCAGGCACTCAGTATATAGAAACATTTGTGCATGTTGTTATTTTGTATGTGTTTATGTATTAGTTTGGGGTTGCTTGGAATTTGATTAAAAGTCTGAAGGGCTTTTGCTGGAAAGGCAATTGCTGGAAAGGAGGGTCCCAGAAGCAGCTTTCCTAAATTCAAGGTGTCTTGTTAGTTGCATTTGCTAAGTCACTTTATACAGTCAGACCCTATTTGCATGATCAATTCAGTTCACTTTGAGTTGTTCTGGCAGCCATTTTGAGTATCTAGGGCCTGGCAGTGGCTTGCCATATTAATATGGACCTGGGGCCCACGCAAGAGTTAGCTAACAGTTCTTGGGTTGCGTGAGGCTTAATGCCCATAGAACCCACGGCCCTAAGGCTGACACAACACCAAACTGACCGGGCACTGAAGATTCGGGATATCTCCCTGCATGTTCCGACAGACTCCCAAACTTCACCGATTGAGTTCGTTGCTTTGGCATCTTCCAATGACATACTGCTGCAGTTACACACAACTGCCTAAGAAATGCTTTGTGGAATAACCCAGGATCAGAAAGGTGAACTGCTCCTTAACTGGGGAGCACTCCCACCAGTGGCAAAAGTATCAAGCGATCTGACCAAATCTCTTCCAACAATGTTGACTGGGATTCATTTCCATGGTCAAGGCAGGCTCCAAAATGTATTAAGAATGGCTGTGGAATCTCGCTGTTCCATCACACATCTCTTAATTTTGTCCTTCGCACAACGAACAATATCTCGTGCCTAAGTGTCCTTTAGGATGATAGGTCATTGCAACAGCAGGAACCCAAAAACTGCAACAGCTGCTGGTTGGGGTTGGCATGCTGCCCAAATTAAGCCTCTACTTGAGCTGACATTTGGCTTTCCAGTGACAATCGTCACAACATGCTTAATTACGGGAAACGGTCCTAATGTAACTTAACACTAGCTATCGATATAGCTTCAGAACTTATCAATGTATAAAGCCTGAGGCCCATCTGCAGCTTCTGGGGCCCAGGGTGAACCCTGCTGAGTGTAACGCTTAGCCTGCATATATTCTTTTCCCCCAGTATGGTGCCTTCCAGATGCTTTGCACGGAGGTGTAACTAGAGCCTGGACTTGGGACTCAGTTCAGAGCCTCACAGACGAACTCCCCACTGCTATCTGGAGCAGCCTTCCAGACCTCGGAACCCTGCAAGGTGCGGGGTGCCAGGCACTGCAGCCCAACACTTTCGGGGAGCAAGACAGGGGAAGCCTGGTGTATTCAGACTGGCTGCCGAAGGGTTATCACCCCCATTCAGTACGTCCACCAGGAACAGGTCTCATTTGACCATGGGCGATGTTTAGCACCCCCTTCTATATTCCGAAATCCATATAAACTTCATGAGCGATCACCCCAAAATATGCACCCTCCCGGATTCCCAGATGTCTCCATCGGGCGCGCCATTAGCACAAGCGCACTGTGGGACTGACAGAGACCTGTCGAGCTCGGAGGCCTGCACGTTGTGCCGCGCTCTGCCAAGACAGCGCAGCGCAGACTCGGGATCGGTCCTCACGGCCTTGAGTTCTGCTTCGCTTTCGCGCGCCGACCCGTCGGACGCCCAGCCCCGCGCGGCGCAGCGCAGCGCAGCGTGGCGCGGCGCCCCCTCCCCGTCCCACCGCGCAGCGCCGCTCCTTGGGAAGGGAAGTCCGCCGGCGCCCGGGGCCGGCGCTGCGGGGCGCCTCGGGGCGCAAGCGGGGGCTCGGGCAGGGCGCGGGACACCGCGCGCGGCGCTCTCGGAGCTGCCGCGCAACCACCTCGCCCGCTCGCCCGCCTGCCTCTCGCAGGCGGCCCGGCGCGCTCCGGCGCGGGCGGAGTCGCTCCAACGAGCGGCGCCCGGGCACGGGGCGGGGCCGCCTCGCAGCGCCGGCCCCTTGGGTGGAGAGGTGAAATAGAGGCGGTCATGCCGCTGGGGCTCGCCAGCAGGAACGTCTTAGGCCAGGTAGAGGCAGCACGGAGCGGCGAGCGCGCCGGCGTGGCGAGGGTGTGAGCCGCGGGCCGGGCGAGGCGAGGCGAGGCGAGGCTGGGCTCCTGCCGCCCCTGGGCTCCTGCCGCCCCTGCGCGCACCGTCCCTCCGCATGGCCACCCGGGTGCTGAGCATGAGCGCTCGCCTGGGGCCTGAGGAGCCCGTCTTCGCGCAGCTCAAGCCCGTGCTGGGAGGCCGGGAAGCCGCGCTCTTCCCGGGACACGGCCCCGAGGCCGTCAAGCCGCCGCCGCCCGGAGAAGGAGCCGCGATTCCTGGCGGGGACATGGCGCAGGTGAGCGGAGAATTCCTCTCGTAGCCAGCGTGCCGCGTCCTCGGCCGGGAGGCGCCGGCATGCCTGTTCTGGCTTTCTGCGACCGTGCACCCGGCAAGATTGCCTCCGAGCATGGGCAGAGCGCGCCGCGTGCGGGACCGGCAGTGGCGCTCCCGGCACGGAGCGTCTTCGAGCCCGCGAGGTGTTCTCGGGAGCCGCTGGGTGTGTCCCCGCCGACGCCCTGGCTCGGCCTCTGGATCGCCCGGGGTGGGGCCACGCGAGCCGGGCTGGAGTGATGGAGGGCGCGCTCCCCGGTGGCGGGCCGCCGCCTGATGCGCGCCGCCGAGCGCCCCGCCGCCAGGCCGGCGCTGCCCCACCCGCGCGCCCGGGCCGCCGAGCGCCCGGCCACTCGGAGGACTTTTTCCGGGTTGGAGAGGCGCGTGGAGTGAGCGCGGCGGGCGCGCAGGGGGCGCCCCGAGCGGGGCTTGCGGCGGTCGGCTCCGACGTGGTCGCGCCCGCGTGAGACCTGGGCAGCCGCGGGCTCGGCGCGGCTGCGGGCCAGCGCCTGTTGCCGCTCCCCCCGGCCCTGCCCTGCCCTGCCCGGCCTGGCTGAGGCTGGGTCCGGCCACGGGCCCCACTGCAGCCTTGCGGGGCGGCCGGGGGCGCCTTCCTTTCCGGCGGGCCTCGGTGGCGCGGCGAAGGGGGCCCGGGCGGCGGCGGTCCGGGGCGCCCCCGCGCCCGGGCAGGTGTCTCGCGCGGCGCCCCTCGCGGAACGCCCGCACCGCCCGCTTCCCCGGGGGTGGCGGAGCAGCGGCCCCACCTGCCCGGCAGCCGCGGTGGCGGCTCTCCGCGAGGGAGCCGGTGCCCCGTGGCGATCCAGAGGCGGCCCAAGCCTCGCCCTCTCCAAGGGACGCAGACCCACCCCGCCCGTGGCGTCTGCCCGGCCGGGGGGCAGCCTGCCGTGGAGCCCCCTCCTCTGCCTGCGCCTCCAGATGCGTAGGGACCGCGGGTCCTGCCTTCGCTGGGCGGCCCGGCCAAAGGAGCAGGGCGGTGGCGGCTGTGGAAGATGGGACGTAGAGCCCGACGCATCTGGAGGACCCTGGCTCGGAGACTGCTGGCGCAGCGCCACCCAGCTCAGTGCCGTTGGAGCTGCTCATGACTCGCTCGGCTCCCCTTGATGTGAATGGGTTTGCTCTGAAGTATGACTAGGCTTGGATCCGGTCCAGGATCGTCAACGGCTCCTGAATGTGGGAATCGGTGGTGCTTTGGGCCTCTAAGCCGGGCTTGGCAGCCTTCGTCCCCTGCCCTAGTCCAGCGCCAGCCCTCCGGGTTGTGAGTAGAGAGGTTTTTTTTCCCTCTGGGCACGTTCCCAGCAGCAAGTGGGCAGCGGGGTGGGTGGGTGGGTGGGAGGAGCGGGCCCCCGACCGTGTTGAAAGCTACAGCTGCTCCCTCATGCACTTGCTCGGCGGCCGAATTAGAGTAACTGCCCGCTCCTCTCGCCCACGCACCGTCATTTTAGATGGGGCGCGAAGGGGTGGGGGAGGAACTTCTGGGGACTTTTCTGCCCGTCCCAGAAGAACGGACTGGAAACAGATCCACATGCAAACAGCTGGAGGAGCTAAAAGGGGAAAGCGCAAACCACACTGTGATTTTTTCTCTTCTTTTTTAAAGTACACAAATGGTTTTAATTTGAAACTATTTCTAGTCTTGGGTTGTTCCATTTGAACATTTTCTTGTAGGTTTTGTCCTTTGCCAGCCCTTGGTTACTGCCCCCCCCTTCTTAACATGGCACAAATGTCAGGGGAAAAAGCGAGGGGGGGGGACTCAAACTCAAACAAAGCCGGGTTTCTCTTTTCTCCCCCCTCCCCCCCCACACACACACAGAGTGAAGAAATAGAGGCATGGATTGATTTGCAGAAGGATCTTGCTAGAATGTCACAAACGTGGAAGGGAAGAAATGAGGAGGAATACCTGGTAGTGCAGGCAGCCTGGTTTCAGTGATACTCCCCCCCCCCGCCCATAAGTGTTTCTGTCATCAAAGCCAGTTTGGGCTGTAAACAAGAGCTGGAAAAAGTCGCCTGGCGTGTTAGGGCAGATCGAGATTGGAGACAAGAGGGCTGCTGTTTCTTTCTGGTGCAGGCTTTTTTTCGGTGGCGAGTGGCTTTGGAGAGGCTCTGAAAATAAACTATTTACCCAATCTTCGGCTTGTCAGCAGCCCCTCGCTCGAGAGGTATGGAAAGGTCCTGGCATGAATGGGCTCCTTACAGAGCTTGCGGAATGCAGCCTTTGCGGAGCGGAGAGCGCACGATAAATGTGTTACTGATGACTGTGCTTGTAATGTATCGGGAGCTTCCACCCACAGATTTCCTAGCACCGCTCAAGCTAGTCAGCCCCCCCATCGGGTAATTAAAGCTATTTACTCAGACAGGAATATATGCGTAGATTCCGTGTTTATACGATCTGCTCTGGTAGAAACACCTTGGTCCAATTTGGGTGGGCAAGCAGGAGAAATGCAGGTGGCTGTAATTCATGTACACCTTTCAGGTGCATGTAAATGTTGTTTATCGATTACTCATATGCCCAGAGTGACTGCCAGGGAGCAATTCAAATTTGCATTGAACAGCTCATGTTCAGGCTTGAAGTTCAGCGGGGCCCGCCAAGGAACAGGTTTTTGCTGCGGCTTTAAAAAAAGAAAAAAAAAGAATTATAGCTTTGTGCCCCATTCCTGGCACAGGGCTGCAGATGTTGCGTGCAATTACCTCAAATGAAGTTGAATGCATGGCCATAGTTATAAAATTGTTCCTTGCACACAGAAAGCTAGCATGTTGGGGAGAAGGCTTCCATTATTATTTTTTTCATTTCTAGCATATCCTTTCCCTCACATGCTAGTTTTCTAGATTTATGGTGCTGTTTTGCCATTATACAGTAATCTGAAGTAGTACTGCCCAGGTGAATGCCCAGGTTTTCACCTGGGTGGGAATGTGACATAAATATTGCTAGACTTGTGCCCATTGTAAGGATAGAACCACACTCATTTTAGGTTTGGTTGTAAATCTTGATCGTCGTCTTCTGAAATTGAACTTAGAAGTCATGAGACTGGAAGCGCATAATTAACTTGTTCCAGAGTATTGTGCAGACTGCTTTTCTCGTCCTGAATGCATGAGAGCAGAAAAATATTTTTAAAACTGAAAGGTGAAATTACTTTTAACTGTCTGATAAGACCCCGGCTGAAAAAAATTGGCTTGCACAGTTTGGCTCTACATTTTTCAAGTCTGATTCACCCCCTAGTCTTCTCCCTACCCCAGCAAAACCTCTTATCTTTTCAGATGTTTCAGCCTCTAAGTAGTTATCGTTAGACTTACCTAATTCTTAATGAGCTCAGGGTCTGTGTATATTAAAACCACATTGCTGCATTTTCAGTTGCAGCCCCCTTGACCTTAGATACTGTATTTGATCTAAAAACTTTTCTCTACAGCTGTATTATCGTATGCTTTTTTCCTAAAGGGTCACTTTTCAAAAATGCAAGGGGCATGATTCACTGAAAGCAAAGCATTTGCAGACTCAATTGATTTCAATGGAAGAGATAAGCACATGCCTAAATTGCTCTGCTGAAATCAATAAGACCTAAAAGTACTTTATTTTGCTGGATTAAACCCACAATTTTCTCCCCTGTGTTCTTAGCTAGCATAGCTCAGTATTTCAGTCATAACAAAAACTTTGCAAAAAAAGTCTGGTTGAAACCACATAAAGATTTGACTTAGTAAGTGGTTTATACTTGCTATTAATAGATAAAATAAATTCATTTTACGGATACCTTTTAAAATAGCTAAACAGGCTCAGAGCTTGATTTGTATTGCAGCTTAGTCCCCCTATGTGCTTTTCAGTGACAGAGCTTCACCCAGAATAGATCAAAGGTGCCTGGGGCAGCCCCATGGTACCTTCCCGTCCCTGGCAGAACCCCTCCGTTTCCGAGATGACGACGAAGGGCTTCCAGGTCGGAGCAGTTTTCAGGATAGCATTTATTTATTTGAAACTTTTATACCCCATCCTATACATAAAAATCTCAGGATGGTTTACAGCAACCCAACCCAAATCAGGATGCTGTTTGTTTCCTTGTTGTCTGGTTGACCTCTGACGCTCGTCTCCCTTTCCATCTTTCCCTTTGTTGTGTGTGCTCACCTTGTTCCCCTTCAGGCGCGATGTGAGATGGAGAAGTACCTAACCCCACAGCTCCCTCCCGTCTCCAGTGTCCCAGAGCAGAAGAAGTACCGCCGGGACAGTGCCTCGGGCATCGACCAGTTCTTCACCAACAGCGATGGGTTGCCTTACAGCGTCAACATGAATCTTTACCTCCCTGACATTTCGCAGCTGAGGACAGGCCTGTACAAATCGCAGAGGCCGCCCGTGACCCACATCAAGACGGAGCCCGTGACCGTCTTCAGCCACCAGAGCGAGACGGCTCCTCCGGCCCCCAACCCCACCCAGTCCCTTCCCGAGTTCACGAGCATCTTCAGCTCCCACCAGACACCGGACGTCAGCAACCTCTTCATCAAACAGGAGCTGCCCACCCCGGATCTTCACCTCTCCATCTCCACGCCTCAGCAAGGCCAGCTGTATCAGCTCCTGAGCTCTCCAGACCTTGACCTGCCCAACCCCACAACGCAGCCTCCGGGGATGGATTCCCTGAGCAACGTGCCCATGTCTTCTGCCATGGCAGGCCTCAACACCCTCTCCTCTGCCATGCCGCAAACTACCATGAAACAGTTCCCTGGGCTCCCCCAGTGTACGTACAGTATGCCTAATCAATTTCTTCACCATCAACAAGCCACTTATTTTCCTCCTTCTCCGCCAAGCTCAGAGCCTGGCAGTCCGGACAGACAAGCCGAAATGATGCAGAATTTAACCCCTCCGCCATCTTACGCTGCTACAATTGCTTCCAAGCTGGCTATTCACAATCCCAGTTTGCCTGCAAACATCCCAATGAATTCACCACCTGTCCCACCTGTCAGGTACAACAGGAGAACGAACCCGGAGCTGGAGAAAAGACGTATTCATTACTGTGATTATCCAGGTAAGCTGAAAGGGAACAAATGCGCCTGTTGCTTGGTTTCTTTTTAAGTAGATTACATATGGGCCATTGTCATGTGCCACAGGAAAACTAAATAATGGATCCAGCTAGTCTCTTTCTGGGTAGACAGAGCAATTGCTCCCTTGGTTATGTCTGTTGTTTTCATAGATGATCGGGTCTCTTTTTTTCTTTTTGTTTTTACAAAAAAAGCTTCCATCTTCATACTGAATTTGCATTAAAAGTCATACTCTGAACAAAATTTTGAGCCACAGTGGGGAAATAATTTCCCTAGGCTTATATAGGCCATGCCCAATAAACTGATTCGTGTGGTAAATGTATCCTTGGACTGTACTACTCTATCCAGATGATGAAATGCATCTTCTGGTGACCCTTTGCTCAGAAGAGGAATCCTACACATAAATTTAGCTTGGAAAAGTCAAGGTTAAACTCCTTCCTTCTACAGGAAGATATGATGCTTTCAGATCTGTGGTTTCCCTCCATGAATCTGAAGTGGTACAGCCCAGGAGCAGTTCTACCGCATGGACAGCATCTGTAAGCTGGACTTAAAAGTCAAGGACTGGGCTCATAGAGCTAATATGGACTTGATGGATTAACAGTAAATGGTAATGGCCTAGACCAGCGTTCTCCTACCGGTAGCTTCTACACCCTTGTTGGCCCAGGAAGCATTGTGTCTGGGCAGGACAGGAGCTGTACTCTAGCACATCTGGAAAACACCTGGGTGGGGAAGGCTGGCCTTGCTCATTGGCTGCTTCAGAGAAGAGAGTTGCCCTTTTCATACCTGGGAAGCTCTCTTTGCTGGCAACTTCTCATGTCCTTTTAAGGAAATCTCTCCGTGACCCTGCTTCTTTCTACTTGTACCTGGCATGACTTCATCCAGCCTCCCCTCACTTGCAGTCTGGTTGCCTCCAGATGTTTTCGCCCACAGCTCCCACCAGCCCTAGCCAGCATGGCCAGAGGTGATGGGTACCCTAGTCCAAATATCTGGACAGCACCATGTTGGGAAGACTGGCATGACACCTCATGGGGAGTGGAGAGGACATGATGAGCCCAACCTTCTCCACAAGGATGAACCCCAGTGTAGCCTTGGATGGAGTTTTTGTAGACTGTACCCAATCAGTTCTGAATACATTCTGTGTTCTACGTATGACCCATGATCCTGAAGCTACACACCCCAGTCCGGTCTCTTCTCGCTTGCCCCTCCAGACACACACAACTTATTTTTGTTGGCACGTCTGCCGATTCTTTTTTCAGTATTTCACTGTGTCAGGGACTGTGATATTGGGGAATGTACCAGAATTCTTGGTACATACCTCAATATAATACTGTACTACTTGATCTGCAGTTTGTGACTAATTTTGTTTTGTTGCTTAATGCTCAGTTTAAATATGTGAACTTAGGTAATAGATGAGATGTTGAGACAGTAAGATTCAAGGGAACAAATACTGTGTCAACAAAAATGTTTAGGAAGGCATTGAATTAAAAATTCCAGGTGTGTCCTCTTGAAGCTTTATCTGGCCTTATCCAGTCTATGTCAGGAGTACAAGAAGTGCTACTTCTGTCAATGAGAAGTAGAATATTCTGTGTGACATACCAGATCTGAATGATTTTCTTAAGCCAAAACAGGGCCAGGAGTTGGTGTGATCGTTTGGTTATTGTGCTAAACGTTAATATATCCTAGACATGAATGTTCCCAACCCTTATGTGTCTTCTCGGTTTTCTGTCTTAGGTTGCACTAAAGTGTATACGAAGTCTTCCCACTTAAAAGCGCACCTGCGAACTCACACCGGTATGTGTTTACTGTGTTCTTAGCTGTCCTATAAATACAAGTTGGCCACCTTTCTTTCTCTGCTTTGCGTTGGTTGAAAGGTTTCCCTTGGTTTGCTTCAAGCGGAGAGTGATAAATCAGCCAAACAGAGTGGTTAATAAAATGAAAACTGACACTTTTGACTTCTTAAAATAAAGAGGCTTAATTTGGGCAGTGAATAAATACTCTCTTGGAAGCCTCCCTGTCCTCACGCATTTTGCAGCAACTTCTCATGTGGGTTTCGTTCCTCTGGGCTGCACTTCCTTGGGAGGGTGGCTGATTCAGTGTACCTAAAATGAAACATACATCTGATCTTGGCTTAACTCGAGGCTGAAATTCAATAACGGCTATCTGGGAATAAACTAGTGGGATTGAGTCTCAGTAGACGTGCCTAGGATCGGTGTATAAAGCTTGGCCATCCTTCGTTTATTTCATAAAAATAAGTTTCCCAACAGTTGTTGGTTTTTTCCCTCCAGAGTAGTCCCCACACTGCTGTTTCGCCAGCTATAAAGCATCGATGAAAATTAGATATACATTCCTTTAAGATGACTTGTCGTGTTGTATTCTGAACTGGGCTGTGTGTTTGAGTGAGAAAGAGAGCAGAAAGCTTGATAAGTAGGTTCCGAAGGGTATGTATTTTCCTCCATGCATAGTTAGCTGGCTTTCACGCTTGTGACCGAGGTTTTCGTCCACTCCGCTGTTGCTGCCGCTTTTTTGAATCTCTTCGGCCTGGGTATCAATTCTGTATTGTTCCAATCCATAAGTTCATTTGGGGGGGCATTTCAAGTGTTATAGTCTCCTGGGAGCTATATATTTAAGCTTTCTCAACCTACCGTCCCATCACCACCAGCAATGTAGGGAGTTTTAATCCAGTACCTGGGGGACGCCAGGGGCGGGGGGGAGAAAGAAGTTGGTCTACCCCAAACAATAAAGGTCTGCATACAGATTTCTCTTACGTGGAGGGGGCCCGGGCTTCATGCATGCGAGCCCCTGCCATGGCCAGACGCAGGGCCCCAGAGAGGAGCCTGCTGCTTGCGATGAACGAATGATCTCATTCTGTTACAAGGCAGTGTCTTCTATTTTCCCGTGTGAACTTATGCCCAGCACTTAAAATAAAAGGTTCTATCGGCATCCTTGTGATCCCAACTTTGGGACTGCCCTGCTGGACAAGTACTTGGATTAGGCCAGACAAACTCTGAATGCTGTCTGTGTGTGTGTCAGCAGACTTCTGGGTTTTCACAGGGCGCTGCAGCTTGCTGCTTCTCTTTTTTTCGTTTGGAGGGAGTGCTAGTTTATTGCATAGGGCTTGTGGTTGAAATTGCTTCCTCAACAATAGAAAAAAGTCAGAAGTCTGTTTTTTGTGTGTGTGTGTGTGTGTGTGTTTAAATCGAAAGATCTGAGGCTTGGTTTCATCTATGGAACAAGGGCTTGTATTCAGTGTTTGCTCGTCATTGAGAGATGGAGTATCTCCAGGCAAAAATGTTATTATGGAAATGCAAGTTTTGATAAACGAAGCAGTTGTCTCTACAAGGAACAGTGATACATTTAATTAAAAAAAAACCTTTAAAAGCAGTTGTTCTAAGGCAAGAATTCCCAAACTCTGTGCAGTGAGAGTATAAGCTGGGCGCTGACCAAGCAAGTTGCCCGGTTTGATCGTTCTTAACTTTGAGTTGGGCCCCGCTGGAGAAGTTTTGCTCTCCCTCCACACGTGTGTGAGTTGCTAAACTGGCGTTTGCTCCATCGAGTTGGAAGGGACATCCACACAGGGAGAGACATCTTGGCCGTGGGGCAATTCTCCTCATGCCCTGCCTTACCAGCTCTAAAGTAAACTCCCCTGGCGTAGAAGAGGAGAACCCACCTCCACATTTTGTTGGACTGGAACTCCCATCATCCCCAAACACTTGCCATGCTGGGATTCATGAATATGTGCCCTGTAGATAAAACCTGGTGTTCAAAAGGAAGCTTTTATATGGCATAGCTTTGGTCACATTTATCTTCATTATGACAAGACCGCCTAATTTCTCAGAATAAGTTTTCTGTATGGATACGTTAATGCGTGATATTTGCTGCCTTTTAGTTGTAAACCAGCCTTCCCCAGTTTGGGGCCTTCCAGGGCTTGGGACTATAACTCCCAGCATCCCCATCCAGGTATCAGGCATAGCAGACCAACCCTATCCAAATGTACCCAGTTGGGAAAGGGTCTTGCAAATACACAGTGCTCTTAAAAATTGCTTTCAAAAATTCGAACGGGGGGGTGGGGGAAAGGATGACATTTTTCCTCTGTTCTAGGACATAAAAGATTATCAGCAATTTATGTGGCATAGATTTACAAAGCCGAAAGCATATAGACTTGATATTAATGAATCACCAAAGAGACAAGCTCTTACAGAAGGCTGTAGGAATCCTAGGACCGAATTTTTAAAAAATTGAATTAAGAAGCTTAATTTAGCTGTTCTGCAGAAATGTCTGCTCATTCTGAGTATTCGTTTAGCTTAATTTTTTCCTATGGAAAAAAAAGCTGTTCGCGAATCATGTAGCTTGAAAGCTTTAATAAAATGTAGGTCATGAAATGCAGGTTATTAAAGTTTTGTGTGATACCCTTTCCAATCCCCTCAGGGGTTTAAGAGACCTGTTTATCTGGCTCGACTTGTTCTGTAGTATCTGTCGAGGACCACTGCTTGTTTGTTCTCTTCCCAGCAATCCATCTTAAACCAACTCTTATCCACCCTTCTCAGGCAATCTGTCACTTTAAAATACATTTTAAAAAGAAAGAGAAAGACCCTTCCAGCAGCAACCTGTGTTCTTCGAAGTCAAAACAACCATAGACCTCTTCCTTTGTATTGGAAGCCCTGCGTCTTTTCATAGTATTTAGCCACCTGTCCCCACCTGAATGGCTTGCCCTGAGTTTAATGGCATTCTTTTCAGAGCAAACTTAAAAAATGGCAGCGGTGGTGAGAGAGACTGGGCGGCGGCCTCCGTCTGGATGCAGATAGGAACGAGCTGACGGGATTTATAAACTGCATGGAATAAACGAAATTGGCAGCAGACCATAAAACATAACTGCCTGGTTACAGTGGGAGTGGTGAAAATGGACTTTCCGAGATAGCCCATTGGCTGCATGTGAGGCTTGTGGACACTTACCTTTTCCCTTGATTTCCGTAGCTGTACCTTGAGCAGCGACGTCGCCTACAGATACGAAGCAAGCCATGTTTTATTATCCTCTCGCCGTGCAACGGCGCATCACGCTACATGGATTCTGGCAGGCAGACGAGCCCTTCTCTAGGGCTGAATGCAGGATGTTGCTGAACTGTGGGTGGTTATTGAAATGTGGGTTGAGAACCCAACTGCGATAACGCTCCATGACTTGTGAACCACCAACAACCCAGGAAGGGAGCTGTTGTGTTGTAGCTCTGGTCTCCCCCTGCATCTGCTCTCCCTGGTTCAATCAACGTAAGGAGGCCGGGCTATCACAAAACTGTAGAATCCTGAGGCTTTAATTTGCCCAAACCCAAAAGTTGCATCTCCTTTCGGCCCTGAAAGCTCCATTAACCCCAAGGGCGGACGTTCCCAGTGTAGCCACAGACTGGCTGAGTACATCCATGCTGAGGCTCCTGATAGTCTTCGGGGGGCCATTTACAACTTTTGATGTTTGGGCCTCACTTTTTGCAATAAAATGGATGCCAGGATGCATTTTTAAAGTAGAGGCAAGCGACTCGTGGCCCTCCACCAGCCCTAGCCAGCACAGCCAGGGGAGCAGAGCCATGGGGATTGTAGGCCAACAGAGTGGGAGGGCCATAAGTTGTCCGCCGCTGTGTTAAAAAAGAACTGTTAGCTATTGATCAGAGCTTCCTTTTTGGAGGTAGGAATAGCTTTACGTTCATCAGTGGTGTTATGCAATCGTGGAGAGACGTACCTTTTGAAGGCTGCAGTGCCGTGAACCTTCTGACTGGCATTATCAGCAGGTGCTTGACCTGAACTTGTTTGCCAGAAGCCAATAAAAGGGAGTTAATCGTAATTGTAATAGTTAATTTTTTTCACCATAGTATTTGCCTGAGAAGGTATTACACACCCACCCACCCATCCCAGGCATTCTAAATAAAGTCAAGGCTGCACCTAACAGCTCTCTTGTATTTATGGCAGTGTTTAATTTTTGCGAAGAGAAGTGTCCATCAGGCCGGCCGCAAGCTGCCCTTCCGGTCCCGGGCCTGTATGACATTGACTGGCCAAAGTGAGTGCCGCATGTTCGCCCGCTCAGGCATCCTGCCGCAGAACGCTCCTTCACCTGCCCTTAGCTTCTGAGACCCCCCCTCTTCTCTCTTCCTCCCCCTCCTCCTCGTTGCACATACAGGGTGGCCGCCCGTACACGAGCGCCCCTGCTTCCATCGAAGAGGTTTCTGAGGGGCCCGTTAGCTTTTCTGTCCAGAGCAGACATGTTCTCCATGCCTTCTTTGCCATTAATAGTCCCGCACTTAATGCTTGAATCTATTTTCATCTATCCATAGATATAGCTTGTATTTGCTGTTAGGAAATGGAAGCCCCAAAATACTTGATACGTCGCATCTGTAACAAGACGCACACAATCCTAGTTATTCCTGATATATATATATATAGGGCAATCTAAAACATCTTCCTTCAGCACTACCCCAGATATTATTTTTTTTAGCCAGCCCACTTAAAAGGAGCCTGTAATCAAGAACCAAGAGGCCAGAACGCTTTAGATAAGCTCTAGAATTATACCTATTTTATTTATTTTCATCCCACTGTCCTTTGGAGGGGCAGAGGCATACACAGCTCTTGCTTTTCCCCTTGTCTGAGGTTGGACAAGTGGGGAACACCCCCAGCCACGTTTACTTATGGCCCAGCAGCAATTCGAATGTGGGGCTGGTCCAGTTGAACATTGCAGAAGCTTGCACGCTCATGAGTAATGTTTCTGAACCTGAACAAATAGCACCAAGAATTGTTTCTGAGTGAAGGCGCTGCAA